GAGGGACCACTGTACTGCACAAACTGTTGAGATTTCAAATCCATTGAGAACTCAAGAAGGCTCACAAATAGTGATAAACATGACAAATGAATCTCGTTGCACTACAGTCTGACCAAAACTCTACGGGGTCTAGTGATTCTTGCAAAAATGTCTAAAGTTCGGGTAAAGCTACCAATAGGACTTAACCATTACACCTTGAGACCAAATTAGGTGAATACCTGTCTGTGTAAGGTCTCATCCTAGTCATGGTAGTCTTAAGAGCTTGAATAAAAGATTTTTTAAAAAGAAGGCAACTGTACTTCTTTCAATTTGAGAAGACACTTCATCTCTCAAAGGAGCTTCAGTTCTAAAACCAAAAGGTGGCGTGTGCAATGTATTTAATCCCCGGAGGGGGTTGTCCCATTTTGAGGTTGCGAGTTATCACATGAGCCAAGGTGTGAAAAAAATGGCATGGGTCAACTCACACCTCAGCTCATTACGGGGCAAGGTCTCACAGTTTTTATGCTCATCGCGTTGCTTGTTGTGTGGGAGATGGTTTTCACAACTTCGCCTCCTTATTAGCGCGCATGACGCGATATTGTGTGAGTGGTGAAACCTGACATTTATGAGAATACTGCAGCGGCTTCCTGCCACGACGGAGGGTATATTGGCACCTTTAGAGTGGTTTCACCCTTAACGTAACCCAACTACACTTTAAATAACCAGGACCCCTGGATGAGAGGTGAAACATCTTAAAACTTAAAAGTGTCTTCAACCACGATAAATCAGGGCTCTAGACTAACTTTTTGACATGGGCGCACCGGTACGCCTAACTTTAAAAAGTTAGGCGTACCGGCACAAAAGTTAGGCGCACTCAAATTTTTCAACCGCATCGCTTAACTCTGCAGTTTTACATGTGCACTTTCTTTGGGGGGGAAGTCCATACAGACAATATTCATTTCTAAATTATTAACTAACAAACTTGTGCTTTAAGTGCTTTGTCAATATTGTAGAAAATATTAAACTTAATCATCATCTTGGCCTCCTCTGATGACCTGTTTGCTGCTGTCTGTTGCTGAAAGGCAGTGGGGAGAGGGGACACTTGGGAAGTGCATTTATTGCAGCATATAATGTGTTTCCTGGATACACTGTGCTTTTTCAGCATTCAAAGATTGATGGCACCATGTCAGAGCACTGGCTATGAATTTCAGACGGATCAGGCCTTAACTTAACAAAAAAGTTATCAATAGTATTTTTCATCTTTTCTTATTACCCACAGCTACATCCACTTCTCTCAGGCCTAGGCTGCTCACTAGGGCTGGGTATCATCACTGATTTCTATAATCCATTCGATTCTGGTTCTCAAAGTCCTGATTTGATTCAATTTAGCCTCAGACAGTCAGAAATATTATATATATTCTGATCATTTATCAGTACTGATACACATGAGACTTCATCAGAATTGTGAACATCACAGCAGATGCCTTTGTGTGAAAGTAACTGAGAATAAAACACAGAAAAACATGAAGGAGATTTTCCTGACCTGGCTTTTTATAGCAGGTAACCTTAAAATATTCTGTAATTTTGCTTAGTTTTAAGAAGTTTAAATTTCTTCAGTATTGAACAGCAGAAATTAGGCTTTCTTGTCCGAGGTCATTTAAGTGAAAAAAGAAAAAGACAGCGCTGTAAACAACAGTAGACTGGTGGGTAATAAGCGAATGAATAATGCAGAAAACAGATTTGAGACGGGAAACAGTTCTTGAAGTACAGAGAGAGAGAGAGAGCTGTGCAGGAAGTGTGATTTTTATCGTGGTGGAAGCAAAACCGCAAAAGTCAGAGGGAATTCATGACGACATTGATCAAATGTGAAGCGCAGTTTGCTGCTTCTTTTGCTGGTGACTCTGTGAATTTTGGTTGGAGAGAGACAAAACCTGCAGCTCAGAATCAGCGCAAAAAAGACGTAAACACAGAGCGGACCCGACGCATCAGAATCGCTAAGCTCCGACAGTGTGTCGCATTTGCGACCAAATTGGTCGCACTCTAGAGCCCTGTAAATTACAGATGGATGGGTGACAGATGTTTTGCCATGGCATAAGCCTACTGGTCCTTCAAGTTCTTGATTTTATCCAATAGCTGCTCAGGTATCCAGATCTCGATCACCAAAGTGGACGGACAAATTGTCAACCAAAATTGGCCAGCATAAACAAAAAATCCAGAAGCCTGTGTGGCACATAAATCATCTACTCCTGTACAATGGCATCCTGTTTTTAAAGTTAACCATCTTCAAATAGTACAGTGGTCAGTTGTTTAAATTGATCTAATTTAATGCCCAGAACCATGTAGCATTTTCCAAAAGTGAGCAACACTTACAATTAACATTATCTTAACCCCACATTCCTAAAAATTGACTCAGATTACACACAACTGTTTGGAAAAGCAAGCAAACCACAACCAGTACTTCAGTGTACTGATTGTACTGACCAAATTAAACAATTTCTTCTTGATTTAAAAGAATTGATGCTTTAATTTATATCAAACATTGTGTAAAAAAAAAGAAAAAGAAAAAGAAAAAAAAAAGTAAGACCTCAGTCTACCCAGTTTACTTGACTCTACGTAAGCCTAGACTGTAGATTATTACTTTGTGTTCAATGCACACATCAAAAGCCTGCTTTGTGTATTATTAGTTTAGCGAGACTGTGTTTGTCCTTAATACTGATTTAGGTGTGGATAATCAATGCAAAATCCTTTCTGTATTGATTAGCACGGGTTATGAATGTGATGAGAATGTCAAAATATTTTATTTTATGTTTTGAGTCTCCATACTTGTCCTCCACTCCTGTTGCTCCCAGGAGCTGCAAATCTTTTTCAATGTAGCTGAAGGCTTCCTGCAGTCTCTCCTCCCTCTGCTGCAGCGCGGTGCGGGCACTGTTTAGTTTCTTGTCCACATCGATGTACTCCTCCGGACTGAAGTGGCGGCATGCTACGACCAGGGTTCGCAAACCTTTCTATAATTAAATTAGGAGAATGGAGTTTAGAAAAA